TTCATCGCAAACGGTTAAGGATAGCCCGAAATGCTCGATGATGACGCAGCAAATCGATTGGAAAGAGGTGGCTTTTTACTGATGATTGAGCCCAGCATGCACTATAATCATTTACGTAATCGCGTTAACACAATTTCTGTGGGATGCCCGTGAATAATCAATACTTTGCGAGACTATCTTTAATAAAGAAAGGTTTAAAAATACTAATACAAGCTATCGCTATATCAGCTACCGCGCGTTGCTGATATATCTTGGCAACAACGAACAAAACGATATTCGGAAATCTTTGCTTCGGCATAATTCGAAGTTGAGATAATAGATACTAGAGTCATACTTGATCATCGTCATTTTTCGGTGTGACATGAGATTCAACAAATTATATTAAATATTCAAAGATATTTAATCCGGGAATAGTCACCTGAGATATTTTTTACATCCCAGCAGCAAGAAAATGAAGATTAGACGTACTAGTTTTCTGATCAGGAATTTACATAACTATTTTCTTATTTGCCCTTACTTTTTTAGAAAATATATATGAAGTAAATCTATACATAATGATCTCAAATACTACTAAAAATTGTAGAACAATCAATAATATAAAATATGTAACTAAAAATAAACTTTTGGGATATAAAAAACATCCTAGGTGATCATTTTACATGTAAAAAAAATTAGGTAATTATTTCCTATTAATAAAAGCAAGAAAGTGTGAAAATTAATCATCTTTGAAACAAAAGATTATTAATTCTAAACAAATAACTGTCAAAAAATCTTTCTGATTGATTTGACTTTTGCTTTTGGCTCGCGAGTCAGGTTTTTCAGGTCAAGGTTTTCAATCGTATCATAGGATTAGAAATGTAAAACTATGCAAGCGCCAATAAAATAATTTCAAATAAATTGCAGAAAATCTCCATGTATAAGAGAGAAATCGCTCTGCAAGCTTGGTGATGAAAATAAATTGATGGCGCTATGCGGCGAAGTGCGATAAAGTTCATTTGCATATTACAACGAACGTGCGATAAAAATTGCGATGAACGCGACGACGACGGCGTAAAAAATGCTTTTACCTCTTGCACAATTTCGCGTGATTTGCTGATTCGAAGAGATTCACCGAAGAGAGTGAAATCAATGGAGGTCCGATAGGTCAAGAGGGGGGAAGGGACATACCTGCTTGAAGCCTCGATACATGACTCGGATCTCCTGGCGGGAGAACTTGGTTTGTCGCAGAAGTTCCTCTATGGGCACCGGCCTGGTGGTCTGTTGCCTCGCCCGCGTGCTCTCGAATTCGAAGAACGCCTCTTCCGGTCCCGGCGAGTCCGGCGGCGTTGCCATGACCCTTGATCCTCCTGCCGCCGCCTAAATTGTCGAAAGCCCACGACAAAAGCTGGCCCTCCTTCCCTAACTCCTTCCAGCTTCCCTCTGTTTTTTTTATGTCCCGGTGACCCACGAGGTCACACCATCGCCGACACGTTCCTCATCATCGTACGTCCCATCGTATGCGTTTCCTCTATCGATTCGCCACCGCGCCTCTCGCTCGACTTCCTTTCCCTTCGAGATCTCGCGTCTATCTCGGCGAAGGCGCGAAAACTCTTTCGAACGGGGAACTGCAAAATATTATCTACGTGTGACCACACACGACACAAACACTCTCTCACGCAACTCCGCGTACGAAACGAAAATCGTGCGCGCGACCGTGTGCAATGCGTTCAGTTGGTAACACCGAGCAGGGTGTGTAATGCAAAGCACGATATTTTTAACGTTCTAATTACACGCGGTGCGCTTATCGATTATATCAATGTGTTCCCTCCGATCGGGTAATTAGTTCCGTCTTTACAACTGAACGGACATTATGGCGTGCGCGTGTAATCCAAAGGTAACGATGAAATCAAACTGTTTCGTATTTTACGGAATCCTGAAGATTCTCTCCACGACATTAAAGCGAGTTCTGTTGTGATTAATTGTCAGTTTCGGCAATTCCGCTCATATGATGGCATTTTGTATTTTATATTGGTGCGGCATTACAGATTTTTCGGGATTTGGCATAGGTCCCACGTGAAAGAAAGATAGCACAAACAAACAAAAATGGGCTTGCGAGGGTATGGGAGAGGGAGGGAAGGGTGAGGCGAGTTTGATGATGTATGCGGTCACTCGTGCTCAAAGTTTACGATCATTTACGATTCTAAGGATAAAACCGTTTCTCGTTTGACGATGGCGTGCATACACGCTATTAATCACTATTAGTAAGACACGGACATAAACTGAAGCTGCGTCTTAGATCTAGATTTCGGGGTCACTCCGCGAGGATCGTAAAAATAGCCCCGGTAAGACGACTGAATATTGCTCGCGCATAAAAATCGATGACTTGGAATTCGCGAAAGGTTACTGTGCCAAAACTTCAAGATTGATTCTGGGTGCGGTTGCTCGAAATTTATTGACAAGAACCAAGGAAGAACACCGTGAAAAAGAAATGTAAAAAAATGCGGAAAACCTAATGCGCGAAGCCTATCAGATTTCTCTGCTTTTTCTGAAAAGGAAACCAAGAGACACGTAAGCGGAAAGGGAAACTTCCGTATCAGAAGTGTCAGATATGTCATTGTGATATTTAGTTATTAAATTATTTAACGATGAATACACATTCAACGCTTGTTTTTGTAAAGCAATAATAAAGAAAAAATGAAGGCTAAAACGAGCACGAAAGAGTGTAAATTAAAAACAAATGTAAAACTTTATTTCGAAAATATAACGAAATGTAAAAGTCTATATTTATCTTTAATTAATATTCCTTTGTCCTGGTCTTTGTCCCTCTTTTTTTTTCTATACTCACTCTCAAAAAAATGGACCACTAACAGATCGGTAACATTTATATCCATTGGCTCGTTTTTTTAAATAAATGAGTACAAAAAGAAAAAGAGCCAAGACGAGTTCGAAATTATCTAATCGATTATTTGCATAAATTATTTAATAATTAATTTTATATTTAATTATTAAATTAAAGTTTACAAATTAATAATTTTTTTTATTTTGACGTGCAACATTTTTTCTACTTTTCAATAATAAATCATTAGACTGTTATATAAAAAAATGTACCTTTCTGATTTATTTTTAATCAATCTTATATCATTATTTTATCTTAATACTATATTTTTTAGCATTATATATTTAAAATAAACAGAACGTCTTTGCAATTGCGAAGTAATGCGGTCAGTATTTGACATTAATTAGAGTAAAAGAGACACCACAATGGTAAGGGACGGGGGAGAGGTGAGACGGGTGCCTTCGCGTAAAGGATAATAATACCACTGACAAAACCGCCCAGAGGTTTGCGGTGCAACAACTTTTCTGCAACGCAACACGCTGCCTTTATCAACGCTGACGGACGCGGATTTACGGAAAATGTTAAAGATTTAATGTCAAAATATTTATATCGCGACTGTCGCGTATATATAACGATGCGTTACGGGGTCAACAGGCATATCATAAGGTGTATATAAATAAAGTCTCTCCGTCGGGCCTATGCTTATTAATGCAAGAAGTATTACAATGATCAATTATGTAAATCAGCATTTCAGAAAAATGTTAAAAAAATGTCAAAGTACGGCGCGTTACACCTAAAGTAAAATGTCTTTAAGAATTTATAAGCGTTACAACTTTATCTCAATCATTTCGATGCATTATTGATTATACACGTTATTTACCAGCATATATTACCAGCATCATTTAATGTTTTCTTCTTCAATAATTCAATCATTCTCGCAGATTTTATTAATAATTAACCAAATGGAATTTACATCAATTATCGTGCAAATAATTCCAACGTTGATAATTCCATATTTCCAAGTTTAAATAATAATTGCTTACTTAAAAAGGAATTATGTAAATTGATGCTTCGATCAAAAATGACGAAATATCTCTTATTGAGAGACCGAAACATACGAGAGAAATGCAAATAATTGGCGTTGACAGTTTGCCAGATAACAAACTGAAACAGATAACGGGTTTATAATTTGATTACAAAGCTTTATATATGAAATTTCAATCCTGTGAAATTTTTGAACATACTCTTCTTTTTATTAATTTTTCTCTCATGCCTCTTGAAATCATTTTAACATTATTTTTTATAATTGCGCGTTGATTGACTAATTGATCGTAAATCGTAAATAAGTTTTTCAATTTTGTAAAGGATTTTTCTGATATTCTCTTTCTTAAATTTCCAAGATTCTTTCGGATTTGCATTCAGATTTCGACGTCAAGCGTACCAATTATCATAATGCAACAACGAGCTGCGCGCAGACGAAAGAGATTCGCCTTAGGAAGTCTGTCGACCCCAATGTATTCTCTATCAGAATCAAACACTGCAATTAGATCACGCTAACGAACGTAGAGATGGTGCAGATGGTGTAACTATTCGCTATGAAACATAATGGGGGGAGCATATTACCCGTGAAATTTCTCATTTGACATCGATTGAACATTGGAACACGGTTTAAAATTTATTACCTACTGAATTCGTCTCTCGTGTACTACATCGCCACAATTTAATTAAATCAGATTGGCACCTAAAACTGACAGCTCATAAACGCGCTCTCATGGAACGTGCATTTTCAGCATCCCTCGTGTCGCCAACGCTAGAGATCGAAATAGAGATCGTGTATTCGAAAATTGTCACCTGTTAACGAAGGAGGCAGCGATATGGAACTACGATCGCGGGTGACTTCTTATCGCACAGCGACTTATGACTTATCACAGAGCACACAGGCGGCGCAGCGGGGGAAAAGGAGGGTGGAAATACACGCGCGTCTATCCTATCGCGGATCTCCCGCTCGGTCCGCGTGAGATCGCTCCGACGGCGACGGAGGCGGCGACGGCGGCGGTGGCGACGACGGTCCCGGGAGCGAGAGGCAGCGGCTCGCACGCGGCTGCATCAGCGGCGGCGGCGGCGGCGGTGGTGGTGACGGTGGCGGCTGTCGACTCGAGCAGGTGGACGATCACTCGGCGACGCGGTTGACGACCCACCCACCGTCGTCGTGCGGGGAGACAGCGCGGCGACGTGACACGAGGACGTCAACTCGCCGATCTCCATAACATGATCTATGATAACATGATCATTATATCCAATGCGAAACAAAGAGCGAGAGTAAGAGAGGCGAGAAACAAAAGGATTAAAAAAAGATCATGTAAAAGAACCAATAATCTCGCGAGGCACTGCCGGTCCATACGCGGAGGGTCGAGGAGCTTTTCCACGAGCGCGAAATCACAACGAAACAGAAACGATCCAAACAGGTACGCGACCGGCGGTACACTGGCTGCCCGGGTAGAGCGCGCCTAGTAGACGACGCCGCCGCTGATTGGCCGGTCGCCCCGGCCAATCGCGGGACGCCGGCGCGCCGAATCACCCGCGGCCGAATGCCGCCGAAGAGTATCCCTTTGATGCGCCGCCGGCGAAACCATCCTTAAAAGCCATCTGCAGGTTGCGGTGCGTGCGAGGGTGGTTTCGCATCGGAACGTGCCGCTGGAATGCGCCGAGTATCCATGCGGATATTAACGATGGAGATGTGAGAAATAAATATAGACCGATAATGCGGGAGAATTGCTTTTACGGGGTATATAAACTCGCCGCGGAAATTAGGGAACTTAATTCCGTCACGCAAATATGACGTAATCGCGCACACGAGCATAGCGTGATGGAAAGCATTAATCCCGATAAATAGTACATATTGCGAGTGCGAAAAGATTCATTAATCGAGATTTGAGAAATTCGTACATATGTAAATGTGTACGATAAGATAAACGGTAACAGAAATAATCTACGCTAATATTAACACTGTTAGTCGCTACAATGATGGATATATCGTCCTTGAATTATTGCATTTACAAAAGTGAATTTACGAGTGTATTAATATATATATATTAATCCACGTAGAATTATAATGCACGCAAATTGCGCGTCACTTCTGTTAATATCCAGATAAGTTCCTACATACACATATATAACATTTTATAAAACTCAACAGTAGGTATTATTATGATGCATAAGAGAAATGTATGAATGATCGTATCGTTCTTAATTCTTCACGGCAATTTACGGCATTCTCGTGTTTTGTTGTAACGTGCAGAGATAAATTAGAACCGTATATATATTTTTCCAACGTAAATATCGTAACTTTTAGAAAGAAAGCGCTTCCGCGCAACAGATGACCTTTAAGTATTTCATAAATCACGAAAGAACAAATTAGAGCACCACCTGCCTTATCTCCATTGCAGTAGATCCTAGGAATTAGTTCACGTAATTAATTAACAGGAGATTACATCGGTAGCTCGACCGACTGTCGTCGTTTCTCCTTTAAGCTCGCAAACGTGGCTTTAATGTTAGATCGATTAATAGCCTGTTTCTGGTCAGGTGAACATGCACAACATCTTATTAACAAAAAATCGTGATTACACAAATATTCCATACGCGGTAATTTTATATCAAGCGTAGCTAAAGAGCGTCGATTAAAAAGACTTTTCGGATATGCCAGCGGAGAAAAAATCGTGTTTACTTATAATCGGATTTGTATTAACGTAATATATATAGTTACATTAATGTTTTACAGATAAATTTATGTATACATTACACGGAGTATATGTATTTCCAACATTTATTGGTTGACACGACAAGCAACTTCACGTATTAAAGCATTTATTATAATATCCGCGAGTATGTATAAATTCATAGATTTCATATTACAAAATTATTTATAAAATTTATGATAATAATTATATTTAATTAATAATTTAATTTGTATAATTAGGTATTTATTTATACAATTTTATATTACATATAAACTCAAAGAGTTTCTGTAGGGCATACGATGGGAAATGCATACATGTACAATCGAGAAAACAATCAATATTATTTACCACATACACACACACGCGCGCGTGTCTATGCAGACGATTGTATTTATTTTTCTCAATATCATTTGTGTACCTACTTTGATAGTCAAGCAGTATATATATATATATATATATATAATATATTGTATACATAATTTTTCGAGCATGCGTTTCACAGAGGCAATGCCAATAAACAGTATGTATGTGCATGCATGTTTATGTATATATGTATAAGATTATAGATTCAATACAAAAAAGTACAATTTGACTTTGCATTTAATTAACTGTTTCTTAAAAAGTATTTACAAACTTTGGTAAAAACAACTGCAGCTTATCGGAATTACTCTAAATGTATAATTGTCTAATCCATATATGTATAAATTGTATACAAATATAGTATAAATACACTGTACATACGTATAAGCCGTACTTTTGGTGAAATGAAAATAATTAGCTTGCAGCTCTGCAGTTTACTTATTGTTATATATTGTATACATATATATTGTACATATATATTTTGAGAGCAAGAAGATACAAATAATATAAAAGTATAAAATATAAAATTATAGTATTATCTAACGTTCAATGCCTGTGAAATATTTAATTGTCGTTCAAGGTGTCAAATATTATATATAGAAGGCAAAGGCTAGAAATTTCTAAGACAAAATCATGACTAAACAGAAATTTTTTTAGGAATCTAACAATCAAATAGAAATATTTCACAAATTTGAATATTAAATGATACCGATATTAATTAATTTTTGCAGCCATATCCACTATCGCACATTGATCCTGTTCGCGACAGCGCGGCAGGAAGACCGCACTTTCACGCGTGTTCCGAAACTCATCAAAAGAAAAACATTTCAATTTGACAGCTGTCGTCGCTACAAGTACGCAAGTACAGAAAAGCAGGGTCAGTCGTAGGTTAGAGTTTTGCGTAATATTGTAGTAGTAATCGAGGATGGATCCAATGTTACTGAAAAATAAATTTCGTGGTACGATGCTAGGCGTTTTGGTTGGCGATTGCCTTGGGAGCCCCTGGGAAGGCTCGACGATGTCAGGTCGCAAGAAGATCTTCTTGCAGAAAACGCTGGATAAATTGTGGGACACGAAGTTCAGAGGTTAGGTCGCGGAAATCTCATAATTTGTAATAAAGCCGGCTTGTATGCGATGTAACGACTTTGATTTTGGATTCGATGTTAATTTGAACCAGCTGCCTCTAGTAATGTATTTATTTCTAAGATCCAGGACGTTTATATTGCTATAGCTTATATTAATATTTACGTACAAAGTTATCAAAACCGTGTTCTCTCTTCTTAAAGGCAAAAATCGAAAAATAATTCTGAAATTTTCTGTATGTGTCTTATATATTTTTTTTTCTATAAAGTAAACCATGATTTTTTATACAGAGAACTCTTAATTGTATAGAGCCCGTCATGCAATACTCTGACGATTCGGCAATGACACGCTCCTTAGCTGAGTCATTGATTGAGAAGCAAGCTGTGGATATTGTTGATATAGCTAAGCGATTTGCAAAAAGTTATCACGAACAGCCTGATCGTCGTTATGGAGCCGGTACTATAACTGTTAGTTTTGTACTAATATATTAGTATATTAATAATTATCTAATATATATCTAGGTGTATTACTGGTTGATTTTATATACATTTTCCATTTCTGCACTGCACCAAATACTTTCGGTCTTAAAACACAGTTCTAAGTCAAGCTGCGCAATAGTATAATGACAAGTTAAATTAAATTATTAATTTAATAATATTTATTTAATATTACAAATAAGTAATTATCTTTAAAACACTAAAGAATTTATTATTAATGTAAATATACAGGGTGTCTCTTAATAGGTGTATCACCGCTTATGGGTAAATAGAATGGACTAAACTGAATCGAAAAGTCCTCTATCATTTTGCAAAATTCGCAATATTTAACGAGATATTAATTTTTGAATATCGCCGAAGATCGGAAGAGCACA